CGTCTCGATATTTCCCACGGACTTGGCGCGGCGTGATTAATGGTACAAATTGAGATAAATGCCAGCTTTGAAAGCTTTCTGACTGTTCTGCGGGGGTCAGGGGTCACACTCATGCATAATTCATCACCGCAGGCGCCTGTAAATTAGGGAGTAGATGGGGGGCGGGATGTTCGTCGTCTTTGAGGGATGCTGGGATTGCGCTAATGAATCCGGCCAGGAGGAGCATCTGGAGAGCTTCAGCTCCGCTTACGTGAGACGGACATCCACAAAAGCCTGGTCCACCAGCATCCATCTTTTATTTTCCCTTAGAAAGTGAACAGACCGCATTATGCCAGTAAAAACCGGTCGCCTGACCTCGAAGGGCGCATGTTGCTTTGAGAGGAGGCTGTGGACGTACCCTTGAGAAGCTCTGCCCCCCCCCCAACCGAAACCCCATCTCCAAGAAAGAGACGGAGCTGTGGAGATGCTGGTATTTGCGAGTGACCCCAAATGAAAAGGGAAATGCATGCTAAAGCGGCCACATCACCAGCTGGAGGCGTGTGGCCCACTGAAGGTCCTACATAATGGGGGACCTGGACGTTCCACATGCACTGCGCCTGTTTTCCATCCCCCCCATCCCAGAGTCCTGGTTTTTAGACACAAAAAACCAGGACAGTTTGCGGAACCATCTGGCACGTGTGAAGCACATCTCTAAGAGAATACGGATTAGGTGATGACATCACTTCCTGGGTAGATCACGGGGGTGAACAAGGAGGGATGTGAGTGGGAAAAGGAAGGAGAGTATGGCAGGGCAGTAACACCCCCCCCCCCCCCCCGCCCATTACCGGCGATCAATTCACGCTGGTATTACACACCATCAATAAAGGCCGCCTTTCTGTCCAGGTCGATGCTCCCTGCCGGTACCGCATGTCTGGAGGACTTGTCTGGGCCCACAGAACCTGCTAGCATGACTCCGTTGTTGCCGCGCATCTGGGTTGTTATGGAGACGCACGTTGCTGATGAAGGCCATCGATTTTAGGCCTGAGCCGCCCCCCCCCCCAACCTGACCGTACCAACCGGCAGACAGGAAGGAGGCAGGTCCGCAGTCGCGCAGTGGGACCCGAGGCCACTGTTAGCGGCCCTGTTAGCACGCTAATGCTAACGCTAAGCGAGCGTGGCCCCCCGGGGCCCCCACTCGCCGATCTGTCCTAGCGGTATATTTGTAATCTCCTGCTAACCGCATTGTGAGTCTGTCAGATTAGCCTCCTCGTGGTGCGGCGGCCAGAGAAATGTGATTTAGACAGTTTGGACAATAGAGAGAGATTGATCTTATACTGTAATGCGCGTGCGGGATTGGAAAGTGCCGGCGGGTTCCCGCCCTGCTGAAATTCTCGATAAATCTGCAATATGCCCCATTACACTCGTCCCCCCCACCAGCCTGGCCATTATTATATGGGGGGGGGGGGGGTACATGAATAACCACAAACAAGGGGGAAAATGTGAAGATTTGTTTGTTAAAAGTTTACAAGGCGGGTAGTCAGATAGCGGTTATCGTTGGGCAGGCATGTTATTTTAATGTCATTTCAGCACGGCGATAACAGCCTCTGTTTATAATGTCATGGGGGGGGCAGGTCCATCAGCAGGGCCAGGTATAATCCTGATGGGAGGGGGGAGGGGAATTTATGCCCCCGTATTTCGAGAGCACTGAGCGGTGCTGGCGGCTCCGACGTAACGATTTGCCCGTATAGAATCGCGGATCCAGAAACGGGACTCGCTTGTCCGCAGGATTGCTCCGCGCGATGCCTGCCGCCCGCTAAGCGGCATTCCTCGTACCGCCGGCGACTTATCTCGGGGTTAATGGCGCTCGCGAGAGCCGGCTAATAAACGGCTGCTTAAGAAGCCATCTAAACGCACCATTTGTTGGCACTAATCTGCACCCTCCTCCCCGCTGGCGTTCCCTGAGCGATCGCTCGGCCCTAATTGGCTGACATAATCGTCGCGGGCTGCTCTCCCGGGCGGAGGCTTGCTTTGTCGCGACCCCTCTGCGTCGCCGGGAACCCCGCGAGGCTCCAGCACCCAAACCGGCCACGGTGCAGGAATTGCGTGCTGATCCTCGCATTACGGCCCTCTCCCAGGAGGGGGGGGGGATGCTGAGACTGTGTGGTATATAAATAAAGCATATAAATAAAACCATACACCAGACAGAGTCCGAAAGTCAGGAGTGAATCATTAGTAATCCTCGCCTCCGCGTCGCCATCGACACGCACTCAGAGCCTGTAGCCGCATTCATTTGCCATAACTAGATTTGTTTTTTTGTGTTGTACTTGTTTAATTGAGATGGCTGTGTTTTTTCTCCCCTTGTGCTATACGGCCGCAGCAGCAGTCGAATTCTCTCATTAGGCCACTAGTGTCTCTAATGACGTTTATTCCTCTGATTATTGCCTGAACAGATCAGCTGTCCTCCTGCCTTTAACTCGTTCCTTGCACCCTCTGGTACTTCATTATCTATTCTATTACAGTCAGAGCAACGGAGGTTAGGAAGTGAATGTGCAGAATATCGGTTTATTTACTGAAAGATGTGAAGGGACAGCTGAATGCACACTAATCTATGTCCTGGAAAAGCTGCTATTTTTGTGTGTCCAGCATTTCAATGCTGAGCTGATTAACAGGGTGCAGATGGAAGGTCTGGTCCGGTCCGGTCCGGTCCGGGCAGGGGGGCATGTACAGAGCCCCCCTATTGTGTGTGCCTGTGTGTGCAGCTCCTTCACACTTTTTCCCGTTTTTCTATGCTGGACTCCAACCTTTGCAAGGGTCCCTGGTTCCCACGGGAAGAAATTGAATTCTCATTCGCCCTTTCACTAGCCTGTCCCTGCCGCCTCCCTCGTTATTTCCCAAAGCGGCCTGTCGGCCGGCCGCGGCCCCCGCCCGGCCGCGGCCCCCGCCCGGCCGCGGCCCCCGCAGACGGGGCCTTGCATTCTGGGACGTTGGCTTTCGGCAAGATGCTATCGGCCCGCGACATGATGGGAGAAAGGTTCCCTTAATAGCCGCAGTGCCGGCTGATTTCGGGCAGGCAGAGGGCTTGACTTTGACAGAACGGAAAGAGCTGATGACTCGCCAGTGCAGGTTGGGGTAGGTCAGTCTTTCTAGAATTTTCTATGGGAAGGTGGAGATCCAAAGCTCTACGATGTGGCCTTGGACACGGCATGTCCCTCCTTCTCACATGATGTGGTTTGTTTCTTCTCGTGAATGACGTTATCTAATAATCATTAGAATGGAATGTTCCGGAGACACTTCCTGTGTGACCGTGTACAGTGGAGGGCTGGGAACAGGTGGAGGGTGCGGGTGGGGGCAGGCAGGATGGGGCTCTGTGCATCAGAGTGATTGAAACATGCCAAAATGAAGATTATGCAGCCTCAGACGAGGGGCCTGAATGAATCAGGGCTTATTTTTGGGGTCCTGGGATGGGATTATCACATGGTAAGCAGAGTCCAGGCACTGGGCCGTTGCCAAGGTGACGCAAAGAGTAATGAATTGGACTGACAGCCGGGGGGGTCGATCACAGGTTTTCCGTCCCAGATCCTGCTTGCTGATCTGCTGGTGGGTTGGCGTGGGGGGGCATCACTCAGCCCGGCTGCCCACCTGTCCCATGATTCACTTTCCAGAATGTTCCGCCATCACACTGGCCTTGCTGGATTATTCTGCGCCCCATTGAAAAAAGAAAAGATGAAACAAAAAGCTGCATTTGTTATTAGGTGAATTGTTTTCTGGAACAGTCGATATCAGACAAAACGAAGACTCGCTACCGAGACCAAGGACGCGCAACTTCAGTCAATCGAATCACCCCCCACGATCGGTGCCTCTTCCTTTATTTCCCAATTGTTCCCGCTACCTCTGAGGTGCTCTCCTCCGGCAGCGCAGAGCGAGTGGCCCCGGCCCCTAGCTGCCTGGCACCCCACTCTCACCCTGCACGTCGCAAGTCGGACATGCGTGCAGGTCACCGGCATACAGCTGCAGGTTCATCTGACAAACCTCCCTGAGGTATTAAATTCAATTACATGCGAGGGCTGCAGACATGCTGTAAATTGGAGGGGGGGGGGGACATGTCATCAGGGATGCATCCTGTCATTTTTAAAACCTTCCCATCATGCATCTGGAGATTCATTTAGGTGAGACAGCATGTTTGTTGTGTCACCTGAGGCGTTACCAAGGTGACGCAGGAAGCTTCGGAACTATTCATGATCTCCATGGCGATTCCTGAGCTCACGCCATTCCTGCATTGGGCACTGGAGGGCGCCATGTTTGGGCTTCTGTGGCCTCACCATGCATGCCTGTGTTTGTGCATGTGTGTGTTTGTCACAGCCCCACCGGCCCTGCGCCTCTCGGTCAATGAGACCCTGGTGCTGGACCCTGGGAAGGACGTGATGATGTCCTGTGAGGTGACAGCGGGAAACCCCACCCCCACGGTGACATGGTCACGCACACCAGGGTCCGTCCCGCAGCGCGCAGTCATCGATGGCGGCACGCTCACCCTGCGCTCCGTCGAGGCTTCTGACTCTGGCTTCTACAACTGTGCCGCCTACAACAAAGTGGGGAACCCGGCCAAGAGGACAGTGAACCTCGTCGTCAGAGGTGCGTGTGTGTTTTCCTCTCAGTGTGTCGTGCGTGTTTGTCTGCTTGCATACACCATTTGGCCCATATTTTGTGTAATGGTGGCGCTAATTAATCGCATAGCATCACAGGGAAAGGCTGCGTGATCCTGCGCTCCACCTCATGTCCCGCTCCCACTCTCCGCTCCCGCTCTCCGCTCCCGCACCCTGCTCCCGCACCCTGCTCCCGGTCTCCGCTCCCGCACCCTGCTCCCGCACCCTGCTCCCGCTCTCTGCTCCCGCACCCTGCTCCCGCTCTCTGCTCCCGCACCCTGCTCCCGCTCTCCGCTCCCGCTCTCTGCTCCCGCTCTCTTCTCCCGCACCCTGCTCCTGCACCCTGCTCCCGCTCTCCGCTCTCCGCTCCCGCTCTCTGCTCCCGCACCCTGCTCCCGCACCCTGCTCCCGCTCTCTGCTCCCGCACCCTGCTCCCGCTCTCCGCTCTCTGCTCCCGCTCTCTGCTCCCGCACCCTGCTCCCGCACCCTGCTCCCGCTCTCCGCTCTCTGCTCCCGCACCCTGCTCTCCCTCTGCTCTTCCTCTCCGCTCCCACTGTCTCCCCTGCCCTCTGGTCCTGCATCCTGCTCCTGCTCTCCACTCCCACTCTCCTCTCCTGCACCCCGTTCCCGCTCTCTGCTCCCACACCCTGCTCTCAGCTCCCACACCCCGCTCTCTGCTCGCTCACTTCATCATGACCTTTATGAGTGACCCCTAGCTCTTTCCATCCCTGTTAATCATCCTTATTCACTGCTGCGGAGGACCTAATTACAGCATGATGGATCGGGTTCTGTCGCCCACTGTGGTCGTGTGTCCATTTTCCAGGTGCGGCCAGGTGGCTCGGTGCCCTCTGCAAAGATGGGAGGGGTGCATCAGAGAGGGGGTTTGGGGGGGGNGGGTGTTGGGGGGCATCAGAGAAGACATAGGGGACATTGAAGAGGGAGATGGGGGTGGCAGGAGGGTGTCGGACGGCATTGGGGGATATTGGGGAGCATCGGAAAGGGTGCTGGTGGGGTGTCAGAGAGGGCATCAGGTGAGCTTTGGGGTACATCGGAGGGGGGCTGGTATTGGGGAGGGGTGTAACCAGGAGATGGGTGAAAATCAGATGCTTTATGTATTTATTTTACAGTTATATGTATGTATGTTACATTTATATGTAAGTATGTTAAGTATGTATGTATGTTACAATTACATGTCTTTTCAAGACACCCAAAGCGCTTTACAGAACCAATGCGGAGCCACTTCACCCACCCCCACTGTGTAGCCCCCACCTGGGTGATGCGACGGCAGCCATTCTACTCCAGTACGCTTACCACACAGTAGCTAAGGTGGTGAAGGGGCAGGAGAGAATTCACCAGTTAGATATTAGTCCCCATCACTGCACTGGGGCATTGGGACCCACACAGACCACAGGATGGCAGCAACCCAGTCTTCCTAGTTGGTCTCCCATCCAAGTACTGGCCAGGACCAAACCTGGGGGGTGTTTCATGAAGCCGTATTTCTTGTTTAACTGGGTAACTTGTCAGATAATGTAGTCTGAGCTACATTTAAGTGAATGAAGTTGAAGTGCATTTAGCCCAGACTACCATAAATCCAACAACTTATCCGGCTAAGCACGAAATCCTGCTTTGTTGAACACCCCCGTGCTTAGCTTCAGATGGATTACCCGGTTTGAACTGCAGGTGGTACGGCTGCTGAAATATGCTATATAAAATGAAAGGGGATTGTTGGGAATGGCACCGGCCTGCCAGCTGGTTGGTCGGTCGCCCAGTATGCAGGTAACCATGGCCGCTTTTTCACCCACCAGACATGAGGAACCTGACGTTCCAAATCACGCCGGACTCCAACAAGGACAGCGAGAGCATCCAGATGGGCCGCGACCTCAAGCTGTCCTGCCACGTGGACGCCCAGCCACAGGACAAGGTCAACTACACCTGGTACAAGAACGGCGTCCCCATCCTGCCGTCGGAGAACCTGGTGATTCTGCGCAGTGACCCCGACATGGCGCCGGGCACCGGCAGCTTGGAGATCATCGACATGAAGTTTCGCGACCAAGCCACCTACACCTGCGTGGCGAACTTCCCGGGAAGCATCGTGCCCGATCTCAGGGTGGATGTCAACATCACGCAAAGCAGTGGTGAGCCCCCCCCGCCCCCCTGCACAGCTCCTCCTGCTCCTGCCCTCCTCTGTCACCTGAAAATCAGCAGAGGACACTGAATTCCCCCTCCCCCCGACTCCCTCTCCTTGCAGGCTGTCTCCTCCTGGTCTCATCTCACCCCCCCCCCCCCCCCCCCCGTCCCTCTCCATCCGCCCCCTCCTTCCAGTCATCCCCCAGTTTTGTTCGGATGACACCCCTTGCACTCGTCTCATTATCTACCAAGCTATGCATCGACTCTCCATCTTTTCTTGAACTCCTTCCCCGGTCCTGATGCCCCTTCTCGAAATCCAATCGTTTTATTGTCTGTCGGCCGCCTTATAGTAATTCCCAGAGCTTACACCTCGTAAACACGGACCAGACGGGCATCTCCCTAATGTTTACATGTGGGGCTGTTTTGCAGCCGCTCCTCCCAGACAGCGCCGTGTCCCGGCGGCGCGGTGAAGCCAGCAGGATGTCTGCGAGATAATGCGGGGAAAATGGGGCGGCAGAGAAAGAAAGATCTTCCCAGATTCTGGTATAGACGTGCCTCTTAGACAGTGGCCTACTTTGTTGCTATTCCGGTAGCTTCCGGCAAGCTGACATTGGTGAACGGGCCGATTAAATATAAACGAACCGCTTCTGATTGGTTTCCTCGGAGCTGGGTACAGTAAGTGGGCAGCCCTGAGGATGACCCAGGAATACACCAACGCTCACAGGAACGCTCCATTCGGATCTTTCCAGACTGAGGAGAGCCAGGGGTGGGTGGGGGGGGGGGATATATGGGGGCTGCTGGTCTGGTCACCTTGGAAGCTGACAGCCACGATTGGCATGTAGGTGACAGAAGGGCCAGCTAAGGAGATTGGGCCCCCAGCTATCTCAGAGTTCCTCCTGATCATCTGCCTCTGCCTTCCTTGCTGTGGGTCTTCCTCTGTGCTGCCCTTGAAGATCCTTGGATTGAAGATTTTTCGCTCCCTTTCTCCTCACTTTTCTCTCCTCATCCCTTGCTCACCTTCATTTATTTGCTCCTCATGCACCCGATCAGGGGCAGCTCAGTGGGCCAGTGGTTAGCACTTCGTCCAGTGGTCTAGTCTCCAGTGGGCCAGTGGTTAGCACTTCGTCCAGTGGTCTAGTCTCCAGTGGGCCAGNCAGTGGGCCAGTGGTTAGCACTTCGTCCAGTGGTCTAGTCTCCAGTGGGCCAGTGGTTAGCACTTCGTCCAGTGGTCTAGTCTCCAGTGGGCCAGTGGTTAGCACTTTGTCCAGTGATCTAGTCTCCAGTGGGCCAGTGGTTAGCACTGCTGCCGCACACTTTCTCCAGTGTTCTAGTCTCCACCATGCTTCCATGAGTGTGGAGTTTTCATGTTCTCCCCGTGTCATCGTGGGGTTTCCTCTGGGTACTGGTGAAGTTACCAAATTGCCCGTAGGTGTGTGAGTGAATGAAATGTGAGTGTGCCCTGCGATGGGTTGGCGCCCCATCCTGTGTGGTTCCCTGCCTGGCAGGTAAAGAAAATGGATGGATGGACTCTCACCTTGAGAGAGTCGGGTCTCCTCCATGAAGCCTGTGGATGTTTATTTTCCGGCTTTGCAAACCTGGGAATCGGGCTCAGCTCAGCCACGTTAAAATCCAGGTGCTTTATAAGACGGAAACACATAATTCGTCAAAACCTATTCTGTAAACAGAAAATACATTTTTAATAAATATTTAAATTGTATAACATTTATACAGACGAACATTAAAAGAAAAGAAAAGCAATGCTGAATAATTCATTAGTGATGAATTAATAGCATCCATAATTAATAACCCCCTCTCTGTCTCACAGTGACTCCCCCGATCCTGTCGGTGCCCTCTGGTGGCACCGTGGTGACAGCACGGGAGGGTGCCTGGGCGGAGCTGGTGTGCCTGGTGGACGGCAAGCCCCGCCCCCCGGTGCTGTGGTCCCGCGCAGACAAGGACCTGCCTATGCCGTCTGGCGAGTGGGCGACGGAGACACGGGATGGTCGGCTGCGGCTCAGCAATGTGACACGTGATCTCTCGGGGACGTACCGCTGCCAGACAGCGCCATACAATGGGCTGAACATCAAGCGACGCGAGGCACAGGTCCAGCTCAGCGTGCAGTGTGAGTGAGGGGCTCGCCGCTGCCCCCTGGTGTTTTGAGGTTCACCTGCGGCCATGACGTTGACCAGGGACTGGACAGGCCATGTATATGTTATTTTCTCTCCTTCCTATAGATAAAACCCTTCTTTTTCTATAGCTCAGCACCAAATTATTTGATAAGGCCAAGGAAGGATCGTCAGGCAGTTCCCCACCCCACCCCTAAGGGGTGCTATTTCTAAACCCTAAACTATTCTGCAATGGACTTGGAGAAGGCCCATGCGTGCATCTGAAAGCCCGGCCCATGTGTGCGTGCATTTGAAAGCCCGGCTCATGCGTGCATCTGACAGCTCGGCCCATGTGTGCGTGCATCTGAAAGCCCAGCCCATGCGATGCATTTGAAAGCCCGGCTCATGCGTGCATCTGAAAGCTCGGCCCATGCGATGCATTTGAAAGCCCGGCTCATGCGTGCATCTGAAAGCCCGGGCAGCGTGTGCATCTGAAAGCCCGGCCCGTCCCACACTGGCCCTGATTTACAGCCCAGGTGGCCACTGGGCTCAGCGTTGCCGGGGTGACGGAGGGGTCCGGCACCGGCCATGAGCGATGGCTGCTGTGGCCCCCGTGCTTGTTTACTTATCTCTTCACTGGGTTTGTTTTCTCTCTCCTTTTTAGCTGTATTGATTTATACGCAGTAAGGACACTATCATTTTTTAGGCCGCCACTATAATTAAGTGTGCCAGAAGCGGCCCCTCCTCCC